ACTTTTTCCTCCATGTGTTCCAGTTCACAGCATTTCTATTGACCTATCTTCAAGTTTGTTTATTTTTCCAAAGCCGTATTCATTTTCTTTATGTGCCAGTCACAAGAATTCTTCATCTATGATATCATATATTTTATTTCTAGCATTTCTATTTTACTCCTTGTTATAGTTGGTATCTCTCTGGTGAAATTCTCCATCTGTTCATACTTGTTGCCCACCCCTTTCCACTGATGCATTAACATCTTACTTATTGGGGCGCCTGGGTGGCTTAGTTGGTTAAGCGTCCGACTTTCACTTAGGTCATGATCTCGCAGTTCGTGGGTTTGAGCCCCGCGTCGGGCTCTGTGCTGACTGCCGGCTCAGAGCCTGGAGCCTGTTTCAGTCTGTGACTCCCTCTCTCTCTGACCCTCCCCTGCTCACGCTGTCTCTCTCTCTCTCTCTCCTAGAAATAAATTTTAAAAAACAATAAAAAAAAAAATCTTACTTATTTTTAAATCCCTAATAGTTCCAACTATCTGGGTCATCAAATCTTCTCTGCTGATTGCTTTTTCTTTAGATTGTTTTTATCTTTTTTTAATGTAATTTTTTATTGTATGCCAGACATTATGTGTAGAACAGTGCAGACTGAGGTAAATGACATTGACACCTGAAGATTGGCATGCCTCTTCTGTCTGGATTTTCATATTCGAGGTTCAGTCCATCCAGTTAGGAGTTGGATCAGGTTTGGGTTTCATTGTTGCTATTGTTATCTGCTGAGCAGGTGAGACTTCCAATTTCTCTAAACGTGGGATGCTTTCACTCATGCTGACAGTATCTTTCAGTATTTCTGATAACTCTTCAACTTTCAGCCTTTTCTGAATATCTCTGCTATCATGGGGCTCTTCTTATACTTTTGACTCTCTATCAAGGGTTGTGCTATGACAAGTGCCTCAACACTAGACCTATGGTGAGAGGGGCTCCTCTGTTATCCTGGGCCAGCCTTTCTCTCAGGCAGATCTTAAACTTCAGGTTGGGGCTTTCTCAACGTTCCTCCCCTCCTTCCTATGGCAACTCAGTTTTGCCTTGGCACTAAATTCTGGGTTTGGATGTGAGTTTCCTGTCCCTCTCCACTCACTGGTAGCAGACCTCTGCCTTTTTAGTATCATATCTTGGACCCTAAATGATTTCTTGCCTCTCCCCCCAACTATACTAATGAATTTTGCCCTGTGTCCTTGGGGCAAGAGGTTTCCTACTTCTCTCCCAGAGGCAAATGGGTTTTGCTTCTATTCTTTCTTCAAAAGCAGTGAGTTTTTACCTGTGCCCCTCCCTCAATGTCTCAGGCTCTTGCTTCATGGTGGGAATGGATCTGGGGAAGGGGCGAGGTCTTGTGCCTGCTCTCCAACAGCAATTTGCCTCCTCTTGGGTCCTCACATGCCTGTCCCTCCCTGGTCTCTTGCTCAGCATCTCTTGAGAACACTCAGAGATCTGTGAGTGAGTGCCAACTCCCCTGAGTCTGGATTCCGAAGCTATTCCAAAATGTACATCTTGGACCACACTTGGCTTTTAATGATTGGCTAAAGTGTTAGCTGCTGTCTTCATACCTCCTGGTAGCCATGCTTCTCCTAGGCTTGGCTGAAGGGGAAACAGGCTGTGTGCTCCATTTCCCTTTTGTAGGAGGTCTGCTTCTTTGGAATTCAGCTTATTTAGTTGCCTTGTAACCTTACATTTCTGATAGATCTAAGAAAAATTAGGTACCACTAATTTGTAGGCTATCCAGATTTTTCTCATTGTTCTTTGCAGCTTTCTATATCCTATATGGAAGCAGAAATTGGATGTTTTAAATTAAAATTTCTAACTCACTTTAATTTGCCTGTAGAGTGTTCTATCAAGAACATTTTGTGAACATTTTTTTTCAGTTATATCCTTCTATATTTATAAAATGGCTTTAAAAGAGTTTCCTAGTCATATTTAAAAGCTAAATGCTGTGAATGACCTGCTTTTATTCTTATTTTGTAACCAAGGTCATTAATGAATATCACAGTTCAACATTTTCCCTTTGAAAATTTTTGAATCAACAACAAAATCAGTGGGTTAATTTTTTCTTTCTCCTTTTTGAAGTTCTTGAGTTATCTTCTTTTAAATTTACATAAGCTCTCTATAACCAATTTGGACAGCATCTCCCATGGATTTTAAGAGACCTTACAATCTCGTGTATTTTTCTTTTGTGTTAGGTTTGTGAACCTGGGTGGTTCGTTCTGGAGTGGACATAATGACAGGACACTTTTGTGATTACTTATATGTTCGAACTTCCACAGACGTGTAACAAGTTACCTCAGACATTAGTGGCATAAGACAACCCCTTACTTTCACAGATACTGTGGATCAGAGATTTGGAAATGGCACAGCAGAATGGGGTGTTCTGTCCTGTGGTAACTGGAGATGCAGCTGGGAAGCTCCAAGAATGGGGCCAGGATCACCTGGTGGCTCATTTTTCGCATGCCTGGTGCTTCCTTTCCATGTGGACCTCTCCATGGGTCTCTGCATGGGTCTGGTTTGGCGTCCTTACAGCATGGTGGTTGTCTACACAGAAGCTGGATTCCCTATTCTAGCCCAGCTCTGGAAGTCATCACAGCATTGTTTCTACCCTGGTCTATCCATAAATCAGTTACAAAGACCCGTTCAAGCTCATGGGGAATGGACATAAGCTTCATCTCCTGTTAGGGGAGTAGGTAGACTCGGGAAAAACAGAGGAAAATAGAAATATTGCAGTGGGCATTTTTAGAAAATACAATCTATTGCAATTAATTTCCAAAATCTTTCATGTGACAGAACAAAGGAGACAAGAGAGGGGGGGAAAGAAGAGGGAAGGAACTGGCTATAGTCTCCCTTGAAGCCACTTCAGAATACCTCTCAGAACTTTCGAGTTCCTATTTCTTTATAGGTAGGGTGGGACAATTAATTGCCAGATACTCTTTTGTTTGCAAAATTGACAAGTGGCCCTGCTAGCTGAGTTTCTATTTTGTGTTTTTAAGGATTTGTCAGCCTTGTGTCCCTTTTAGGGTCATGCAGGCTAGCTTCTCTCATCCAAGGCTTTGCATCTCCTGGCCTGACCACATATGGGTTGGCTGGTGGGGTGGGGGGGTGGTCAGAAAAGCCTGGGGTGTTTTGCTAAGCATGAGTCTGAATACATCACTGAACTGTTTCCTTTTTCACCTAGGATTTAGGAGATCTAGGTAGACAGTCTGAAAATTTGAATTGAGTTTAGAGATCTCTCCTCATGTCAAGTAAAAAAATGTAAGACATTGGATATTCAGGATTGTTATTTTTCTATGTTTTCAGATGTCAGTCAAAATAGTAATCTTGTCCACATCAAAAACACCTGGGTAGCTCAGTTGGTTAAGTGGCTGCCTCTTGATTTTGGCTCAGGTCATGATCTCATGGCCTGTGAGATCGAGCCCCATGTCAGTCTCTGTGCTGACAGTGCATCCCTATTTGGGATTCTCTGTCTCCCCCTTTCTCTGCCCCTCCCCACTTGTTCTCTCTCTGCCTCAAAATAAATAGACATTTAAACAAATTTTTTAAAAAGTTACCCAAAGTGGCCACTGGGACTTTGCATTGTCCTCGGGGAAATAATAGCATTTACATAAGTAAGACTTGTAATGTGGAAATATGGAAAAACAAGTATTTGGCCTGGTAGGGGCACAGGCTTGGACCGAGATTATCCCTGCAGAACTGTGGTGGTAGAATGATGTGTGTGCAATCTAGTGTCTAGAACCTGGCCCAGTGATAGCTGTCCTCACCTGTGGAGCCAAGTTTTACCTGTAGGCTTGTCCACGTCCTGAGGGTTGTTCATCTGTAAGAAGACATCTGTAGAGGGAGGGCAGACATAGCCCTTGGGGCTGGCTTGAGGATGGACTTATTGGACCTACATCTGCCCTCACCCTATAGTTAACCCATCACAGACAAACAACACTCAATTCAATCAAGGGCTTAGTGAAACATTTGGAGCTCAGACTTACACTTACTGTGCTGTCACAGACAGGATGTGGCCTCCAACAGACGGTAACTCAAGAGGTCTTCGATGTTCATGTAATCACTGTGTCAAGGACTTGGTGTGTGGGACTGAGGGTCTTGGCTGAACCACAGTGGGCCCTCCGCTTGTCACAACCCACTAACCTAAGACCATCAGGGTCACATCAGTGGCCAAAAAAGGTAAGCTTTTTTCCTGAGTCTACCTACTCCCTAGGTCTCTGCAGCAAGGGAGAAACTGCACTCCCAATGCATCTGAACCCTCAGTGGTTCTGACTTTACTGAGTTGTAATTTTCCACAGACTGCACGGAATTTCTGCTTGTGCATATGCTCCGTTGCTGCGCGGCGCCAGACAAGTCCGCCTCCACTTCATCAGGCTCTCCCAGGGTCACTCCTGGGGCTCCCTCGGAGGTAATGGCACAAACCCTTCTGAGCTGCTAGCTGTGGCCCTGCCACCTCTCTCCTCTGTCCCCCAGCCCCAGGTGCGATGCTTCATGGAGCAGCTAAAGTGTCACAGCTACCTGAGCATCTGTATTTGCTCTTTTCCCTCTTTCCACCTGCTGGTTCCCTGTGTCAGCCTCTTTTGGATTGATACCCCAAGTGTAGTTTCTGGATGTTTTATTTTTGGGGTTGAACCCTGACAAACACAACTCCCTAAGAAGGAGCCTGTGTCCTGTCTGCCTGCTCTTTTTTCCCTCTTTCTACTGGCTGGGACTGGGATACAATGACCTTTGGGACAGAACCGATTCTGAGGAAGGCAGAGCTGAAAGATGGAAGGTCCCTGAGGACACGGGAGCTTCCATCCCACCTCTGCCTTCATTTCCATGAGTGAGAAACAAAATGCTCCTTTGTTTACACCACTGTCAGCTCCTCATTGCCAAGGGCTACTCCTAAGTGACCTGCCCCTGTAGGATCTGATAAGGCCTAATGGGAAGAGGGGAACAGTTGATGTCTGGGCTGCGTAAGGAATTAAATTATTTGAAGAAGTAAATAATTCAGCTAATTTTTTATATGAGATCATAAAAACATTTGTAGATGATGATGTAAATGTATGAAGTAGATGATGAAACCAGACATTAAGGAAACCTTTGCTGGTCTGTGACACTCAGGAGGGAGACAGGCAAGGTCCAGGGAGCCAGCCATCACTCTCTCCCTCTCTCTCCTGAAGCAGAGTACAAGTGATGTGACAGAAATGGCAAGGCAGTTAGGCCTGATGAGGCAAGCAGCAAAGTTGTGGAAAGCTTAGGCTGCAGAGCTCTCGAATACCTCAGTGTGGTCTTGACTGCTCAGGGCTTCAGTTTCTTCATCTGTAAAATGGGAGTATTATTAGTTGCTACCTCACTGAGTTGGTGTGGACACCAGATAAGACAATCTATATAAAGCAGTCATATAAATCTATATAAAAGAGTATAATGCATGACCTCTACATTTGACATTTACAGTAGACTCTGAGGGCCCATGGGTGGCTCAGTCAGTTGAACACCTGACTCTTGACTCTGAGGGCCCATGGGTGGCTCAGTCAGTTGAGCACCTGACTCTTGATATCAGCTTGGGCCATGATCCCAGGGTAGTGGGATAGGGCCCTGCATTGGGCTCTGCACAGAGTGTGGACCTGCTTGAGATTCTCTCTCTCTCTCTCTCTCTCTCTCTTCCTCTCTCTTTCTCTCTCCATCTGCCACTCTCCCTCACTCACTCTCTAAATAAATAAACACATAAATAAAATTTATATAATCCACTCTAACTTCTAAACCAAAAGATTGCAAACTTTTGTTTACTTTTACTGTTATCAGTCGCAATGACCTATGACTGTTCTCACAGCTCACCTTCTAGCGGGACAGTCACCATGAGCCAAGGTTTAGTCCTCAGCTTTGTAGCTCCTGGCCCTCAGTTTAATCAGGGCCCTTAGAAGGGTACTGGGGGTTGGAAGGAGGACTGGCTCAGCCAACCAACTCCCAGAGACTTCTAGAAACAAACAATGCACCATGCTGGTGTTCCCACAGAGAATGGCCCACCTGATACTGGCACCCTTTCCCTGAAAGCAGCAGATGGTGGGCAGAGGATCCAAGCTCAGGGTGACAAGTGGTTGACACCTCAAATCCTCCATGGAGCATCGCGGGGTAAAAGCCAACCAGTAACAACAGGGCCCAATGGTTTCAAGGGCTATGGTGTATAAACTGCCAGAGTTTGAAGATCGGCCCCAGGCATAAACCTACAGCTGGCCAGGGTATGCTGGGTGCTCACTCTCAACTCCCTGGGGTTATGAGATGGGTGCATGTGGCTACTTCCCTGAACCCCAGCTCCAGCCTCTCTGCCCCTCAGCAAAGTCTAGATGGATTACGATGCAATCCATTATGTGTCAGCTCAGCCAGAGTATTTCAAATGATTATGATGTTAACCTCAGCTATTCTGCTGTAATTGATCCCTATGGGCCTTTGTCAGTTGCTTCAGCCACACTGTAGATGCAAAGCCAATAGATGCAGTGACCTGGAGCCCTAGTCTGCAGGGCCAAACGGTCACCCTCACCGCTAAAGCTTTCCTGAGCGCAGTCTGCAGAATGACCTGTCTTCCACAGGCGGCCCTGAGTTACCAGACGAAGATTAAATTGTGGTCAGAATACTTCGGTTAAGGATAGCAATGTTTCTGATAAAATGCTAATTTGTAAGTTTGAGTGATTACAGGGGTAGCCCAAGTTATCTGGAAAAATTAGATTTCGTTGTTTCCTGCCAGGGCTGAATTAATGAGATGTCACCACCATGAACTCACTCTTTTATCAAGATCTCCTTTATGATGTATAATCCAAAACTGATGGACCTACAATGCCCAGAGCCATTCATCCTACAATTAACACATTTGTCTGTGTTTCTACAAATCATGCATCTTCTGATACAGGATAAGAGGCCATTGTGCCATCACCAAATACACACTCACACACACCCCAGCACATACTGACTCAGACATCACACTCCCCTGGCTTGTAAGTTAGATTTTATTCTGCTCACCTACTAGTGGCTGATCAGATACACATGTTGTGCACATGTACATGTTTGTTTTGAAAGCTGCTGCCTGCTGTTTGGACAATGACACTGGCACAAGTTTATAAAGCAGCGGCGGGGAAGTATATAAAGGGCAGGGAAAGAGAAGGGATGTGAGGGGTGCAGGTGGGGGATAGAAAGCCTTTAAATGAGACCAGATTACCAGATTCCTGATGGGAACGAGGGGCTATTGCTCCTCACTGAGTGACTTAACCATGACTTTGAGTTGTAGCTCATGTGTCCTCATGGGAAGTTTGATGCATTTCTCTGATACTACATGGGGCCTCGTGCACGGCTGCTTACATCAGTTTCAAATGCTAAGTGACGAAGTTTGGCACATCTTGTGCTGTCTGTTTGAGGTCAGACCATAATCACAGTGAGAAAAGGGCACTTCTGGTGAGTCGTCTGTTCTGTATATGGTAATTTACATAATTATTGATCTCTAGCAATAACACTGACTTTGTCCCTAAGTCCCCTTTACAAATTTTTGTCGGGTGGTCCCAGTGGAGATTCGAGGCTGGAAGAAGTGAAGTCACTTGCTTGTGAGTGGCAGAGCCCTGAGTCCTCATCCTGTGCCCTCCTGTTTCTGTGGGTGGCATTTGTCAAGTCCTCTCCACATCAAGGGGGGGTCACCTCCCTGAGACTCCCCCACACTCCACACATTCAGCTCTGTAGGGCCAGCATGTGGCCCAATCCCTCTTCCAGGTTCCTGCCCTTGAAGGCTGTGACCATGCCCCTTCCCAAGCCCCTGGGGGGACATATCCACTGTCCTCACTGTGCTGCCCTGGTGGCAGAGTGGGGGCCTGTCTGCTTGGTGACCTCCTCAAGACTGCTCTGTTTGCCAGGGTCCTGCCCTAAAGGTGGCATCAGGGACTGAATGGCTTGGATGCCCCTGATGTATTTTACTGAAACTGCATGAGCCCTGGGAAGGTCTGAGCTAGGGTAGGGGGAAGCCAGACGCAGGGCTTGGGGAAGGCTGAGTTACCCAAGGCAGGGTGTTGGCTAGGTGGGGGTGCTAGGTGAGTAGAGAAGGTTTTCAGGAAGCTGGAAGCTTAGGAAAGAGCCAGGAATAGGAAACACCATGTTCAGTGGGTAACAGAGGCACCTGTCTGCTGTGAGGATTCTAACCAAAGACCAAAATAGCTCCTTCCATTCCCAGACTTTGGTGGGATGGCACTTAGGATCTTGCATGACTAGAGCCCATACCGTGGTCATCAGGTACAGTTAAGCCCTCTCAGGAAGTGTTTGCTATGTGGGGAGGCGGGGGGAGGGAACAAAGGCTAGGCTTGGAGTTGTAAGCCCATGTGAACCATGACCTGAGGGCCCAAAGGACCTAGGGGCCACAGGACTGCCTATCACCTCCTGTGTGTCCCTTTCTCAACATCAGCCATTTCCTCTGCCTCCTTCACCACCACCCAATCACGACCACCCTGGACTCACCTGTTCTTGGGGGGGGGGGGGAGGGGGGAACGTTCTGAAACTCGCAGGTCACCTCCATGGCTCTCAGGATAAAGTTCAAAATTCCCGATGGAGCCAGCATGCTCTGCCCCCTGGTCCCTCCCGTCACTCAGGAGTCTCTCCCACTCTGGCCAGCTCTGCTTTAACTACAAGTAGTGGCACCTGGGGCCCCTACCCGAGCGCCCAGACGTGCCCACCCCGCAAGGACCTTCCTTCAGGACGTCATGTGTTACTGGTGTGGTTGCCCAGATGTACTGCCTCCCACCTACCTGTGAGCCCATGTGGGCAGGGACCACATCTGCCCCATTAACCAGCTGATTCTCAGTGGCTGCCACCATGCTCTGCTCACAGTAGGTGCTCAATTATTGGATGGCTGTTGGAGCCCAGGGAGGACATGGTCCTTTTTAACTGTCACAGTGGTGGACACACAGAGGGGGTGCACAATGTGACCACAGCGGCATCACCTCCCTTCTAGAGCTGAGGACACCCTTGCCATGGTCATAATCAAAATGGTGTGGGAGTATCTTGGAGCAACGAGAAGGGTGGGACTGAGGAAAGGGCAGAAACGGTGGCCCTGGAACCCAGCAGCATCTCCCTGTGGCTGAGGCAGCATTTCCCAAGCCCGGGTGCCCCGGGTCCTGCTTCGGCACAGTGAGATGACTTCTTTGTGGGGAGCTCACTTCAGCCTGCAGGCAGTCCTGAAGCTGAGCACCATGAGACCAGAGAGGACATTTCCATCCCCAGGTCAGCTCCCCCTGGACGGTGTCCTGGACCACGCACGGGATCTCACATCCGGGTCTCTGCTGGGGCCAGAAACAAGCTCTACAGGAAGCTGCAGTCCTTGGGGATGTTCTTGGCGTTTCCTCGCCTGAGCCAGGTGGGGCAGGCCCAGCACTGTTGCCACATTCAAATGGAAACCTCCCATGTGGTCTGATTTTCAAAGAGACCCCATATATCAGAAATAGCTGTGAGTCTTGAGAGTTGAAAATTCCCTCGGAGAGGAATGAGCGGTGTTGAGGAAGAAGCTGCTTGCCAGTGATCATCAGCGATAGATACCTCACCCTGAGCTCTAGCAGGGCTCCGGGCATGCCTGGGACCTCAGGAGGCTCAGGGCCACTGTCATCAGGGGAGACCTGGCTCTGAGCTGACTCCAAGTAACCCCCACCCCCCCCACCCCACCTCAGCCTTCTCTCTTTCTCTGAACCCCACCCCACACCTGGCACACACACCTGTCCCCACACCTGTCTCCAGCTCTCACGGTCATCGACTCAACATTACCTATGGCTGCACTGCTCTTGTTGGTGGCTCAAGTAGTTGGTTCCAAACACTGATTCCGATCCAGCTGCTGCCCTGTGGCCGAGTCCAACTCTCCCCACCCTCAGTACCTTAGCCTAACAGAGGAAAGCTGTGAATTCCAGGCGACCTCGTTACTGTTGGGGATGTTGGGCAAAGCGATGTTCTTCTGTACACTCAGTATCCTCCTCTCTAAAATGTACCTTGGGGTAAGAAATAAGCAAGATGCCTTATCTGTCACTCACTCACACTGATGAAGCCCACTCTTTGCCAGGCTGTAGGCCAGGACGGAGCTTGGCACCATAGAGGGCAGACAGACATTGAGGATGGAGGCTGTTGGCAAAAGGACATGGTGCCAGCTACGTGGGAATGGTGAGGACGGTGGGGACAGAGAGGGTGGAGGTACTGGCTGGTGCCTGGAATCAGGATGCTCTCAGGTGGGCCCTGCCCCCACCTCCGTGCTTCCTAGGCCTAGTGCTTGCTTTGGCCCCTCATGGGGCCAGATCCTTCATCAGGGCTCCCTGGGCCAATGGAGTGCTTGCACTGCCCTGTGAGCCAGCACCATGATCTCCACACTCCAGCTTGTGTCCTTGGGGACATCTGGGTGTGAGCCCAGGCACCAGCCCAGCCAGGGCTTTGAGGGGCGTGGACTGGCACCTCCTCCCTGCCCGGCCTCTGCTCCCCAGGCTCCAGGCTGCCTGCCAGCCAATTCCTGCCCCACACTTAACCTTCCAGCCATAGTCTTCCAATAAAACGAGGCCGCTAACACTAAGAACGTGTGGAAAACCCCAGCACACCATCCCAGCTATCTTGTTGCAATGATGACATCACCCAGGCTCCACTGTGCATGGCTGGGGACACTGCCTTCAATTCTTGGCCCACACTGTGCAGGAGCAGCTCAGCCGGGGTCTGGCAGCCTCTGCACCCAGAGACCCAAGCTGCTGCAGCATGGCCAAGCCTCAGTGAGGGCTCCCTGACCAACACTGTGCTCCCTGGGACCACCTTCACCTTGACCTCCAAAGGCATGGGTGGTGACCCTGAGCTTGAGGCTCATGTTTTGGTCAGTCAACTCAGTATTTTATGCAAATTTGAATTGGTTGCCCACATTTAACAACTGGCAGCATTTAAGATCAAACCTGGGGGGCGCCTGGGTGGCTCAGTTGGTTCAGCATCTGACTCTTGATTTCTGCTCAGGTCATGATCTCACCATTTGTGAGTTCAAGCCCTTCATCAGGCTCTGTGCTGACAGCTTGGAGCCTGCTTGGGATTCTCTCTCTGTCCCTCCCCTGCTTGAGTGTGTGCTCTCTCTCTCTCTCTCTCTCTCTCTCTCTCAAGATAAATAAGAGTAACTTAAAAAAAGATCAAACCTGGATTTTCAGTGCCACCGCCATCATTGCTGTACCTGTCACTCTGTATCCCTTACTCCCTCCCCCCATCACTGCACCCTGTGGCCCTACATCGCTCAGTTTTGCATTCATCGCCCTACAGCCCTACATCTCTAATCCCTGGGTTCCTGCTGTTTACGTCCCTGCATCCCTACACCTCCTTTCCTCAACATGGCATCCCTCCTCTCTCCATCTCTCAGACCTGCATCCTGTATCCCTGTAGTTCCTATAGCCTAAATTCTGCCTCCCAGTGCCCTCATCCCTAATCCCTGCTTCCCGCATGACCCTTGCTGCTCCTACATCCTTTCCCTCCTGCATCCCCGAGTCCTTCATCCCTGGATCCTTCCAATCCTGCATCCCTCCACTTCCATCTCACATCCCCTTTTTCCACCTCTTCCTCTTTCTCCTCTTCCTCCGTAGGCGACTCCTCCACTCATTAGGCTGTTCTCAGCTCTTCCATGGAGGACACAGGTATTGTTAGCCCTCTGGCAGGTGTGCAAAGCCATCTCTTTTTTTCACAGTGGGCTTGTAGGGGCTCTTTGGGTACCCCTTTCCTGCATCCTGTGGCACACATAACTTCCTGCTGGTGCCCCCACCCCTACACGTCATTTCTGGAGCAGAGTCTGGTCAAGATGGTCTGAACTCAGACCCCTTCTGCCTCCCCTCCCTTGTTCTGCTAAGGTGGACAAGTAAGTTGTCCATATTGCCAGCCAGCTTCCCTCTGGCAGAAGGGCCAAGGTGCAGTCCATGTGCTCAGATTCCAGGGCCCCCCTGAGAGCTCCCTGAGTCCCACTCCATACTCTGCCCCTGCCCTGGGTGCCAGGACCCTCAGAGCCTCTACTTTGGACTTCAACTGGGGCTAGAGTGTCAGCTTCCTCCCTGACTTCCCATGGGGGGGGGGGGGAAGGGACACATCACAGAGCTCCGGCCAAACTGTCCCCAAAGCTCTCTGACCAGACACCATCCCTTCTCAGCCTCCCTGATCAAATAGCCTTCTAGAAGGGCTGAGTGGTTTGGGGACCTCTTGGCAAGTCTGCCTGGAAAGGCTAGCCATCCATAATGTCTGACACCCACAGGCCATGTGCTGGAGTGTACGACCTGGCATCCTTGGGGAGTGGGGCACTTGGCTCTTCTCACTGTCAGGCCTCAATGGGGACAGCATCGTGTCCTGCTAGACACACCAGGAGCACTTTCCTGAGTCTCATTTCTGAAACATGATCAGCCTCAGAGACCATATACTAGAGCCTCACTGGTGTGCTCTGTTTTCGTGGCTGTGCAGTCTCCACAGAGTTCACAATTTCCCTAACCAGCCCCTAGCCCCTGACGGAATGTGCCTTTGCTGCCACACTCACTGGAATGAGAACCCTGTGCCTCCACCTTTGTGCCCAGGTGTGAAGAGGCCTGCAGGAGACAGTCATGGGACTGGGTCCTTATTTCACCTGTACCCTACAAGTCACCTGCGGTCCACCTAAACGTCATTGGTCTGCACTTGTGAATTAGTGGCCCTTGGTGGCCTGATGTTTCACTCCCTGAGCTCCAGTAGAGTCCTGTGAAACAGGGTGACAGTCACTCACCTGAGCATAATCACGTGGGACAAGGCCAGTCTGAAGAGTCAGAGGAAGGCTATCAGGAAGAAATGCAAAGGCTTATAAAGGAGGATGCAGTCACCTGGGCTGACCTGGTTGAGCCAGTCACAGATGTTCCCAGGAAGGGGGAAGGGTGATCAGCATATGGAACTGCCTTCAGGGAGCGAGGCTTCTGCTCTGCCTGCTCTTGCAAACATGTTTGTGTGGCAATGGGCTCAGACTCCCAATTCTAAATAACTGCCAAGAGTCTGGAAGGAGAGTCAGAGCCCTGGTCAGTCCACCCCTGAGATGAAACAGGCCTGGGGCCAAGACGTGGGGACCAGGACACCTTGCCCGGAGCAGAGCATTTGTGGGCACATCTAAGTCTTCCAGCAATACTGGGCACCCCTGTACCAATATTTCTGGGCATCCTCTGGCATTCCCACAACACCCAGGAGCTAGTCTGCCCCCAACCCCTCACCCCTGTATTCTGTAGGAATATCTCTCCCTGAGCCCTGCTGTGGCACTCTGTGGTTTAGGGGGCTCATGATGGTGTGGGTGGCTGTCCCTGCACTCATGTGCTCTGTTGAGTGGATCCCCAGCTGTACTGGCTATGCTCCCATGTCTCTCTGGTATCTCCAATGCAAGAGCCTTTTCGGCTTCCCTCCCCCAGTGGCCTGGCTGTCTGGATGAATCTAGCTGGTCAAGCCCAACATCTGTGTCCTAGAAGATGCATCTGTCTCTATGCAGATAGGCAGAGACACCATTAGTACATATGGCACCTCCATGTGAATTAGGAACAGGTGTCCCTACTGGGTAGACAACAATGCCAAAGGTGCACCTTCTGTCAGGCACAGCAGAGCTCCAGTGCTGGGAGTCTGTACCTCGGTCCCCTCCACTGGGAGCCCTGGTGTCTGGTGGTTGCAAGCAGGGATGTCTGCTCCTCGGCTGGGATGAGGGAGAGGTTGACGGCACAGGCCCCTCCAGCTGAAGCCCTCAGTTCTTTTGGACACAAGGTGGGGAGGAGGTGAAGCCAGCATCTGTTTAAAGTCGGTTCCCTGCTCCAGACACATTTGGGTAGTTTCTGGGCCCATTGGCTCTGAGGAAGGATGGAGAGAGCCAGAAACAGCTGAAATGTCATGCACACCAGGGACACCC